GACCATGGGCGCTGTAAAGCACCCGAAACGTCGGGATAATAATAAAAATAAATTAAAGTAATTAAACGCGAAAAAATCCGTAAATAATAATTTTATTCAATGTATAGTGTTCGCGTAAATTTAAGAAATCATTATAGGACACGTTAATAATACGCTAGATAAAAATCATATTTAATAACTTAGTGAAGTGGTGTGACATTTACTTTTTAACGTTTTAACTTTTTCTAAGTTTTGAAACACCTCGTATCAATTTCACGTCGTCGGAATAAACAGACATGATTTTGATTTACTAACTATGGAGAATGCCACCAAAACGCGGCTCTAGCATTAAACAACATTTAATTATTAAATTTGATTTGATGTAGTTATTAAACTTTAGTGATTACAAGATTAGAGTGATTATTTGGATAAAACAATATCATAAAGTTTATGGTTTGTTGATAATATCGCATTAGCATCGCCCTACGCGTGCCTAATTCCCTATGTACGGGCAAGTGTAGGTATCGCTGCGCCGTTGCCGTTTTTACAGTCACTTCAGGTCAATAAACTCATATTATCCAGCATGATTTATTTCGTGTAATATTTTAAGCTATTTATTTTGTTCGAAAAATGCACTTTTTTATTTTTTATATTATTGTTTATTTTATTATTTCAACAGACGTATATCAACTTGCATTTACTGCTGCGCTATAAAATGTGATAACCTAATCTCCACCCAGTATAGAAAGGGTCCTAAAAATATGTAAAAGTTGTTCACAAATGCGTGTTTGGTTTGAGGGTTAACACAAACTAAATCCATTCTTCTCCTGTCTATGGATTTTGAGTTAAATGGAAGTTCGGTATGCTGTTTTAATATGATGTTCAGGATAAACAACTGACGGACAGTTAGTACACTACATGCCAAGTATAGTTGATGTGTAGGAAACATGAATGTGCGGAAAGTGGCTACCTTTAAAACTGCTCTCTGTGCACGTTCTAATGGGAGCAATATTGTTTTAGAAGCTCCACCCCAGGAAGTAATGCCATGAGAATGGATTGACACAAAGCTAAATAGACCTGTCTTATCAATTTGAAGTCAGCGATGTTACGAAGATATTTAAAAATATATATTAATTTACGAACTCTAGCACATAGTAAATCGATGTGCTTGCGGAAATTTAAATTTGTGTCAAGCGTGATACCTAGATATTTTATATTGTCTGTTTTTGTTAAAGCGGAACATGCACATGCAGTGTCATTATACGAGTTACAATTATGAGCGTAAATATTTAGGTGAGTTGGTATGTTATTATTTCTCATTAAAAATAACATATATTGTGTTTTATCAGCGTTTAAACGTAGGAGATTATTAAGAAGCCAATTAGATACTATGTTAAAGCCTTGCTGAGCGTATTTATAAACCTCATCTCGTGATTTAGCTGAGAATAACAGGGCTGTGTCATCTGCATACGACATAATGACGCCATTTTGAAGTTGAAGATTGCATAAGTCATTTATATAAATTAGGAACAATGTAGGCCCCAGGATACTGCCCTGTGGGATTCCATAAGAGCTGTTTTGTAATTCAGTACTTGTATACTCACCGATTTTTACACATTGAAAGCGATCACTGAGGTAATCAGAAAAAATTTGTAGTTGAGTTCCCCTTATGCCAAGTGTTTCAAGCTTTTGCAATAGTATAGGGCAAGAAATAGTATCAAATGCTTTGGTAAGGTCTAAAAGATCCCAATTGAGTGCATACCGTTGTCAAGATTACTTGTGACGTAATCCGTCAATTGGTGCAAGGGATCATTGCATGATCTCTTAGGCCTAAAACCAAATTGTCTGTCTGACAGCAAGTTGTTAGTTTCCAGGTATTTTATTAACCTGGTATTTATGATCTTTTCTAAAATTTTAGATAAGCCAGATAAGACTGAAATCGGCCTATAGTTACTAACTAAGTTTTTATCACCAGCTTTGTAAATAGGAGAAACCACTGCTTTTTTAAGCACTTACGGAAAAATACCATTTGATAGGCATAATTGAAAGATATGTGTTAACGGGGCGGCCAGTAAATGTTTAAATCTTTTGAGTATGCGATTAGGTATATTGTCCCATCCAACTGCACAATCATCTTTTAGGCCAGATATTATACTTAAAATCTCACCAATATCGGTATTTAACAATACAAAAGAATTTATCTTAGAAAAGGATGTGGGCATAAAAATTGGATTACGAGTGTTGCTTAATTTTAAAGTTGTCTCTATTTTTTTTGCCAAGATTAATAAAGTAATTATTTACTTTATTAGTTGCTTCGTTTGGGCTTTTGTCTAATGACAGTAGATCAAGTGGGGGTCCAAGATTTTTTGAACTGAAGGTATTATTTTTAATGAACTTCCATACAAGTTTACTGTTTTTACCGGCCTTTTGTAAAACATTTTTATCATATTGTATTTTGAGGTTTTTTAATAGTTTATTGCAAAAATTGCTATATCTTTTATAAGTAGCAGAAAGTATTACAATATCAGGAGAAAGTTTAGATTTTAAATGAAGTTTGTCTCTATTTCTTATACAGCGGACGAGACGAGGTGTTATCCAAGGTTTAATATTATAATACTTACGTGACAGTTTTATTGTTTATGTATTATTCATTATTGCGTATTGTAAAGAATTTATAAAGTAACTCAAGGACGTATTTGCATCGTCAGAGCAATAAACAAAGTCAAAATTCACATTCACATCACAAAATGGTCTAAACAAGAGCCGCTTTGATGTGTAGGGTGGTAATGTGTTGGTAATAGCCCATGAAAAGAGCAAATATTTAGGTAGTTATGTGCATGGTTATCTGTTTTCCCAGGGGTAATGTTAATATTTATGTCACCGGTTAGGATTATATTTTTATATGTGCTAAATTTGCTTAAGGTAATATCAAGGGACTCTATAAATCTATCAATATGTGAAGGAGGTCTGTAAACTGCGATAACAATCGTCTCGGAATTAATTCGAATGATTAAGCAATCACTATCCTGGAATGTAGTTTCTGTGACAGTTACTTTTAAATTATTTTTAACATAGATTACTAAACCGTCATTTTGATTAATGTTTTTCTCGGTTTTGTGTAAAGAATAGCCATTTAGAATCAGTAGGTGGGATGGGAGATTTGACAGCCAACATTCTGTAAGGATAATAATATTAATATCACATTTTATATCCAGTTTATGCAACAAAACTTCAAACCCGGTTATATTCCGATTTATGCTTCTAATATTTTGTGTAAGTAAGATTAACTTATTTTCAGGACGTGGAAGGAAGTGTTTACAGTCATCAACATTACATGTTTTGGCGTCAGACACAGAAAAGTTGTCTAGGTCATTGAGTAATTGATTCGCCATACTTAAGCTTAAAGATAAACTAAAACGTGTTTAAGAGCGAAGTAAATAATATAATACGCGGCGCTCTTAGGCGCCCTCATAGTCTATGGAGTTGATATATTTGTCCTCTGCGAATTTACGTGCTGGACAGCTTTCATCACCAGTTTTGTGGTCGCATTTTCTTTTAAAACGTTTACACGTCGCGCAAACGGGGACATGCGCTTTGTTATTACATTCCTTAAAGGAATGCCCGAACTCTCCACAGTAGTTACATGTAGGGCTACTTTCCCGACAAAATTTGGTTGAATGACCAAACTGCTGGCAGTTGAAGCATCTTGTTACTATTGTAAAGTCTCTGACTGGGCATGAGGTCCAATTAATATAAATTCGTCCTTGATTGATAAGGGCCTTCCTGATGCTAGGTGACACTTCGACAATGTAATTACAGGTAGGAAGGTTTTTCTTACCTGATTTATGGCTCAGTTTGACTGTTGCCAGGAAGGACTCACGCGTGGCATTGGGAAATTTATCGGCAATATTTTGTTCGAAAATGCACTCGAACACTTCTTTATCCGTGAGGGCTACAGGGACACCAACAATTGCAATCCTTGGACGTCGTTTAGTCGGTTCTTCCATGGTAAGGCCAGAAGATACAAGCTTCTCGGAGTTCTTTAATTTGTCAATATCTCCTTTTGTCTCAGCGCTAATTATAACTCCCCCATTTTTGACCTTCCTCATGCCTCGGACATGTAGTTTGAGTTCTTCTGGGGATATTATTTTTTGTAAGAGGCACCACACAACATCCTCGATAATGCTAGGGTACTAAGGTTGTTTGGGCGAATAGGGTTTGGCCACCTTTTTTGACCATGTCCGCAAAAGTGGTTCCAGAGTCCGGTTTTGATGACTCTTCGATACTATTCTTGAGTTCCTGCAGCTTTTGGGACAGGTCAAGTTGTTTCTGCAGAGATACGATGGAGGTCTGGGCTTTAGTGGCATCCATTTTGAGGGACATGTACTGGACTACCAGTTGTGATGTACCGTGGCTTACTTTTCGACAAAACGAGCTAATGCGCATTTTTTGATCAGAGTTAAGTTTTCCCTCTGTTGCGATGGAGCACACCTCGTTAAGGCACAGGTCAATGCTTGTCATCCAATGCTGCAACTCAGGAGTTGGAAGTGTTTTAATTGGTTCGCTTGAAGTGGCTGTCTGCATGGGCGGGGTTGATGGAGGCGGGGTGCGAGTGGTCCTGGCACTCCGGTTAAAGGGACTGTTCTCCATTTTAGTACCTATTCTAGATAAAGCTAAAACATTTCAACAAAATCACTAACACAAATATAACTAAAGTATGTCACAGTTACTTCCGGTATTGTTATAACGAAGTCACGGCTAAGCACATACTTATTTAATTATTTTAATTACTATATGACACGTCTGTACACAATAACGTGCACTTACGAACTCCTTTTGTATGAAAGATGTACTTTTATATTTTTTATATTATTGTACATTTTATTACTTCAATAGACGTATGTCAAAAAGCATCAACTACTATGCTATAAAACGTGATAACCTAATCGCCACACAGTAGATAAGTTATGTAAGAAATATCAAAAGGTATATTATGTTGCGGGTCGTGTCTAGGGGCTCACCACATGCACTTGCGGTCGTAGGAGGCGACGAGCAGGTTGTCCCCGGCGGGGTGTAGCGCCAGCGAGCTGATCCACTGCGCGCCCGCCAGCAGCTTGCGCACCAGCTCCTGCTTCACCAGGTCGTACACGCGCACCACGCGCTGCGTCTGCGCACACGGGCGGGCGAGTGTCAGGCGTGTGTCGTGCGTCGGTGTACCGCATGTGTGCTGCGTGTGTGAGTACTCACGGCCACGAACAGCAGCGGGCGGTGCGGGTGGAACACGGCGCACTGCAGGCGGCCGGGCGCGCGGCGGAACGGCAGCTGGCTGCGGCGCCGCGACAGCTGGTGCACCAGCACGCCGCGCGCGCCGCCGTCCTCCACCGTGGCTGCCAGGTAGTCCCCGCGCGCGTGCCACGACAGCTGCGCGCACCACACGATAAACGAATATACAGACCGCCTGATGCTAAGTGAGTGCTGTGCCTCATACACAACTACACCTATCTTAACCTAAAGAATCAAAATGCACATGCGTTTTCATCCCCAAAACCTAAGATATATTGACATAATTTAAAACAAAAACTGTGACAGCACAGCTGAGAATCGACGGCGGTGCGTGCGGTGCGCCGCCTGAGCGGGTGACTGGCACCGCAAATAGGGACGCAGTTGTATTTTCATTTACGACAGTTACTCTTTAAATACGAAATCAAATTACATACTTGTCTGAAATAAACTTTAAATCACGTTGTCAATATGCGACATAAATAATGGAAGTTTTCTTAGACAAATTAAACAATGTTACTATCGAAAACAACGTCGTTTTACAACTAGGGCAATCCCAGTAACAAAATATAAAATAATAGCTCCAAACTATTTAAGAAAATTAAATATTGTAAATTGATAATATCCTCCTCAATTTCTAGTTACAGTTGTTAAATAAGACTTAATTGTGTTTGTAAAATAAATAAAAGTCAAGTATTTTAATTAAAATAGTGTTTTGTGTTTGAACTAAAAGTGACAGTTGTAACGAATATCGTTTGAACTTTCTGTAAGTTAGTGTAAGTCTTGTTATCCCTTTAACCCCTCAGTCCTCTTAAAATTCTCATGCAGTCGCATGCGCCCGGCAAAACCCGAGCGGCCGCATGCGACCGCACTAACCCACAGCTCTTTAAATCACTAAAACTTATATTTAGAGACTACTTTTCTATAAAGAAGATTGGAATTATAAAATATATACAAAATTCTCTATATAAATCTATATAAAAGTCAGGTTTTAGTTCATTACAAAAAGATAATTATATTTTGATAACAAAAACAAAACATACCAAGCGAATGTGGGCAGCGTGAAAATAACATTTTTTTAAAATATATATTAAATATTTAAAAAATTATTTACGTAAAAAGATAAATTATATTCACACAAAAACTTTCATTACAATTTTATAATAAAACACTATACTAAAACACTAATAAAACACTAGAAAAATCCAAAAATCAACACAATAACATTCACGCGAAAATGGCGTTCGAAATGAACGTAGATTATAAATAAATATCCATAGCATAAGTATTTTTTATTGCTCTAGAGTATAGAAAATTTCATATTAATTCTATAATGACAAACTTCTTCATAGAAAAGTAGTCTCTAAATATAAGTTTTAATGGTTTAAAGTGCTGTGGGTGTGCGCGGTTGGGATAACACACCAAATGGAGAACTTGCTTCAAATGGCGCTTCTATAACTTAAAGCTAAAAACGTGGTAGAGCCATGCTGCAGTTATGTGAGTAGTATAGTTGTAGCACGAATGGGTCGGCTCGACCGGGGAAGGACCACGCTCTCACAGAATACCAGAGTAAAATAGTAGCTTAATGCTGCTGTGTTTCGTATGGTGAGTGTAGAGAACTGGCGACCCTTTTTACTGGAAACGAGGCATTTCATCTTAGTTCTCACGGGTGACAACGCATCTGCATTTTGATTCGTAATCGAGGATAGGTGTAGATGTCTATGGGCCACAGCAACCACTTACCATCAGGTGAACTGTGTGCTCGTTTGTCACCCTATCCTATAAAAAAATTGTGCAATTAAAACAATACTTGAAAGTGTCCCAAACTCAAATTATGATCAATGAGCTCATAGAATGTAAATTTTCAAAAACATTGCAACCCTCCACAACAATCGTTTTGACTGGTGATGATTTAGTCACATCAAGAACAGCAGAAAGGATTACATGCAGTAGAAGAAAATTGCAAAAAATGCAGTAGAACAAGCTAGTAGTACCAGTTACTCGACTCCACCGAGTCAGTAATTCATTCTTGGGACGATGTATACGCTTTTACAACAAAATCCCAGAAAATATGCAAAATTTGTCATACACAGTGTTCAAAAATTTTATTAAACTAAGTTTGCATAAAGAAGGTTATTATAATATAAAGGAATTTATGGATGATAATAACCCCTGGGAAGGGTGATTTCTACCAAGCTATTTCTAATTTGTCTTGTGATGTTAATTGTAAGCTATTATTTGAAAAAAATTAATAGTCGCACTGGGTTTATTGCTGGTTCTTCCCACGACAGAGGTTTTTTTCCGAACCAGTGGTAAATGAAAAAAGTGACTCTCGATAAGACAAACAAAAAACTAATCTCTCGGCCACTCAGAAATAACTAAAGGAGTAACGAAAAATTGACAATAATTGCGTGCCAAATATATTAAAGCCGCAAAATCCATACTACAAATATACAGTTTTTGATTAAGAAGTACAAAATAGTAAGCTGAATAAACAAAAAAAGTAATGAAATAGTACTAACGTGCAAAAGTGGTTTGAAGTGCGTGACGACGACACGCACGCCGCGAGCCCACTGCGCCGCGTCCGCCGCCTCCCACTGCACGCACGCCGCCGTGCGCTCGTCCACTGCACACACGCACACGCACGCATTAGTCACGACGACATACGCACACGTTTCACCCGCACACGTTACACATGCATACATTACGCACGCACATACGCACATACTGACGTGACAGACAATTTTCAATTTGCCACCAAATCGTAAACAAATTACAAATTAATAAAATATACATACACAATAACATTGGCAAAGTTCCATTGTCAGAATATTAACTTATATTTTATTATATCGTTTACAACTTTCAATGTCACCCTCGTACGTACACTCACTCACGTGCTCATTTTACACAAACACGTGGTGCGAGTTTCAGGATCCCGGTTCAAATGAATCGTTTATTTTGTCTTTAAATAAAAATATTTATTTAAAATTACAATTTGAAATAATATAATATGTGGTTGACAAAATTTGTGTTGCTTGCTAGACGTTTAGAATATTAATGAACGCTTCTCCTGAGGCTTCTTTCAAGAGCTTCCTACTCGCGTTTTATACGATACGACATCAGAGGGCGTTCGCTCTCGTAGGTGGCGTTAGTAGGCGGTAGTAGTCGTAACATGCTCCCGGCCTTGGAAGCTTCAGCTTCCAACTTGATGTTCCGCTTCTTGATTCGATGGTTGCTGCGGCAGGGGGCAGATTTTCGAGAAGGCACGACGAACAATTCCGCTGGAGGTGCGAATATCAGCGACTCGAGACACGCCATCTTTACCAGGGAAGATTTGTATGACTCGTCCCAATTTCCACTTGAGCGGTGATAAATTATCATCTTTGATCAGTACTAAAGAATGTAATGGGATGTCATCCTTTTGCTTTTTCCATTTCCTTCTCAGTTGGAGTTCTGCAGCATATTCCTTTGACCAACGTTGCCAGAAATGTTGACGTAATTGTTCAACTCTATTATAGCGTGTCAACGCGGGTATTGGTTTCGTTGTAAGATCCCCGCGTGCAGTAGCAGTTAACGGCCTTCCGATCAGGAAATGTGCAGGCGTGAGAGGTGTAAGGTCTGTAGGGTCTGCGGACAAAGGTGACATAGGACGGGAATTCAGGACTGCTTCAATTTGTGTTAAAGCCGTGCTAAACTCCTCATAAGTCAATCTAGCATTACCTACTATACGTATTAGGTGGTACTTACATGATCGTACCCCACTTTCCCATAGGGCTCCAAAGTGTGGTGAGTATGGGGGGAATAAATTTAAAATTAATGCTATCATTAGCAGCAAATTCGATAATTTGTTTTGAATTACCAGTTAAAAATGAAGAAATTTCCTTTTCGGCACCTACAAAAATTTTCCCGTTATCGGAAAATATAATTTCTGGTTTACCTCTTCGACTCATAAAACGTTTTAAAGCTAAAATATAATCATTAGTTAAGAGACCAGTGACAAGTTCCAAGTGCATAGCGCATGTAGTAAAACATACAAACAAACTAATATACGCTTTAATAAGTCTAGATCCCCGGCCCTTACGATTTAATATGAAAACTGGTCCGGCATAATCAACGCCTGTTCTTATGAATGGGAACCCAGGTTCCAAACGTTCTGATGGCAAATTACCCATAATAGGACACAAAGTCTTACCTCTTAACGAGTACACACAACACAGTCGCGCACTATCTTTCGAACGAGGTTTTTACCTCTCACGTATAGTCGCTAAAAGTAGCTGTGGACCCGCGTGAAGCAGCCTCATGTGTTCGTACCTACACAATAACACTGTATAGATATGCTTACTACATATTAAAATAGGATGTTTTTTATCAAAATTAAAAAAAAGTAGAATTACACAGTCTTCCACCAACTCTAATTATTTTATTATCGTCTAAAAATACTTTAATCCGGATATACGATTATAATGTTTACTATTTGATTTGAACTTAATGTTATTCACTAAATATTATTATACACGTCCGGAAACGATTGCATTTGTGCGAACCTAACTGACATATGTTGTGACGCATTCAATTCACTAATACTCAAGGAACCGGTATGGCGACGTTGTTTACGCTCTGACTTAATCTGTGCGTTTTTTATAAAATGATGTATGTGCCCACCTATTCGTTTTAATTAATAAAAGAAGAATATCGTTCAAAATTAATAATGCAATTGTTTTCCACACAAACGCGATTTATTGTTTTTGATTTTATTTCTGGTAAATTATATAAATCCGAAATGTCCTTATTATTATAAATCGTCCAATCAGAATTATGAGAATGATGTAGATATGATGGGCCGTGCCACCATAAATCGCAGTTTACTAATGAATCTAGATACTGACCTCTAGATAATAAGTCAGCTGGATTATGTTTACCATTAACGTGTAACCATATTAAGTCACCTGTTAGTTCATTTATTTCTGTAACTTTGTTTTGTACAAATGTTTTAAGTAGATGAGGAGACGTTCGAATCCAACCCACAACAATAGTTGAGTCTGTCCAGAAGAAAACACTCGTAAATTTTAATCTAAGCGACTCAGCAATTTTTTTATATAATTTTGCCCCTATTAATGCTCCGGAAAGTTCGAGACAGGGTAAACTAATCGTTTTCAAAGGCGCGATCGTTTACATTTGGCACATAATAAGTGCACACATATGGACGACTTATCATCATATGTGCGTATGTAAGCACAAGCACCGTACGCGATTTGGGATGCGTCGGTAAAAATGTGGAGTTCCGTATATTGATTATCACTTGTTACTCGTCGTGGTATATTCAAATCGTTCAATAGTTTTAATGAGTTAATAAATTTATTCCACGTTAAGATTATATCCGAAGGCACAGGAGTATCCCAATCGATTTTACTTAGCCACAATTTTTGTAATAGTATTTTGCATATGATAATTGTTGGAGATAACAGGCCTAACGGATCGTATACTTGAGAAGCTATGGATAACATTTTCCTTTGTGTCAAAAAAGATTTTATCGCTATTATTTTGCCAGCCTAAGCCTAGCGTTTTATTTTGTGTATATTTATCAATAAAATGTTCTTCCGTATTATCATTATCTTTTACACCAAAATTAAAGGTCCATTTATGCAACGGAAAACAACCAGACTGTAATACCTTTGAAATTTTGTTACAAGTTTGTAATAAACTTTGACAATTGTCGTCACCTGTTATTAAATCATGACAAAAAAATCTTGCATGATAACGCGCGTTATGTCGTCATCATTGCATTCTATTGCTAGTTGTCGAATGCAGCGCATACTAAGGAACGGCGCTGAGGCGGTGCCGTACGTCACCGTGTTCAGTTGGTATGTAGCTAAGGGTTCCGTAAGATTTTCTCGCCAGAGTATAAGTTGCAAAGACCTTTGGTCTGCTTGAACAAGTACTTGACGAAACATCTTTTCTACATCTGCACATGCTACGTATTTATATTGTCTAAATCGCAACAAGATAGAAAATATGTCATTTTGTAATGCTGGACCAGGAAACTGAATATCATTCAACGATTTTTTTTGAGCTGGTCACAGCACTTCCATCGAATACTACGCGTAATTTTGTTGTAGAACTGCTATCCTTAAAAACTCCGTGATGAGGAAGATAAAAATTAGGAGAACTACTCGAATAAATTCTAGTCATATGACCCATATTTATATATTCACGCATGAAATCATTATACATACATTCGTTTATAATCAGGTATACGTTCGAGTTTACGTTCTAGTGATAGAAATCGTTTCTTCGCTCTCGTATAAGAATCCCCGAGCGTATCAGCTGATTCTCTTAGCGGTATTCGAACCGAAAACCTACCATTATTTTCACGTTTAGTAGTTTTTGTAAATAACAAAAAATTTTTGTGAGGAACACACACGTTCGTCATTACTTAGAATGTTGCGAGAAGCTGTGGGTATATCCTCTAACTCCCAAAATTTTTTGAGCTGTGTATCAATGCTCTGACTAAAATTACCCTGAACCTGATTAATGCGCAAGTTCTTGGTGTAAATGGGACCAGATATCAACCACCCGAATTTAGAACCTTGTAAATATGGCCCGCGCGGTAAACAAATTTATTATCTAAAAGATCCCAAAAAATATTGGCCCCTAATAATAAATCTATATCTGAGGGTACATTAAAATTAGGATCCGCAAGTTGAATGTTATTGCGAATATAACGTTTAATATCGAATTTAATGTTCATCGTATACGTAATACACGGCAAGACGAAACAATTTAAATTTACTTTATAGTCGTTTATTTTTTGAACGGATAGATACATCGCATGAATGTCTCGATTGTGAAATGAATTATCCAACACCCGAGATTTGAACAGTGGACTGTATTAGAGGCGCATTTAACCGTTTACACAACTTATCCGAAACAAAACAATGCTGGCTTCCATTATCGAGCAGAGCACGTATTGTGTGAAAACAATTATTACTGTCTACTATTTCGACTAAAGCGGTGGACAGCAAAACCGGTTGTAGTAAACTTTTTTGCTGCACGGTTGTCTCAGCTGATAATGAGTGCAACGTAGCTGTAGACACTGTTGTGTGTATGTCGACTGGAGTCGGCTCGTCACGCGCATCTACATTAAAATGTAACAAAGTATTATGTTTGCGTTGACACTGTTTGCAAGGGCCGAATAAGCAGTCGTTTACTGAATGCCCCGCACGCAAGCAATTACGACACAAATTTTTGTCTTGTACGAATTTAAGCCTATCTTTAACTAATAAATTTAAAAAATTAACGCAAGTGTGTAGTCGAAGTCGCATGATTCTGGTTACATAATAAGCATTTAGGAAACTTCTTTTTAGTGTTCCATTTAGGTTTGCTATTGCCATTATTAGTTGAAACGTAACTATGAATATTACCTGATACCGACTCGTTTAGCTTATTATTGTTAGGAAGTGATTTATTTTGCGATTTGTGTGCCTGAACAGTGCTTATCATATCCAACATGTTTGCTTTATTGCGTAGAAATGAAAATAAGTCTTCTAAACATATTTTCTCGAAAGAATCACCTTTAAATCGACTACCAATATCAACTCTCCGCGTTTCCCATTCACGTTCCGT